ACTCCATTATTTCATATCTATACTCATAATTTATGAGTCATAAACAATGTTAACCGTACGTATATTGAAATTCCATCGAGTTTGTACTGCCCGTGGTAATTTAACACCAACTAATTTATCCAATACGGCTACTCTTTGCGGTGAATTTTAAAAAAATACCGGTATTTCTAATAAATTTGAAAAAAAATATCCGAACTTCTTTAATTTGAGATACTGATTGTGTAATAATTAAGTTTAACTTGTGTGCACAGCAATGAATATAATACGCATATGGGTATAGTTCCTTAACCCAAACATTAACTCCACTCTTTTGTCCACTCATGACTGCCGCGCCATCATACTATAGTGCTATTAGTTTATTCGGAGTATTTTTTAAAATAGGATATATTTCAGATAATATTGTTGATGTTAATGATTCTGCATTGTGTCCATCAGGATTTAAAAACCCCCAAAAACGTTCAACTGGTTGACCTTTAAGTTCATAGCGAAATACAATAACTAACTGAAACATATTAGAAATGTCAGTAGTCTCATCGACGAGAATAGAAACAAATTGAGCAGTTTATATTTCTAATAAAATTTGTTTTCTGGTTACAAGTAATATACAATCTAACAAATCATTCTGTATTGTTTTAGATGTCCCTTTAAACACATGAATTTTCAAAATGACTACGCAAACTTACATCTAAGTCTTTACATAACTCAATAACACCGATGAAAACACCTTTATTGTTAGAGTTAATTTTTTCATTGTGACCTCTTAATGGTAAATTATGTTGTCCACAAAATCTTATACAGTTCAGAATATTTTCTAATATATAATGATTTTTATCTATTCCTTCATTATGACGTTGAATCCTAATTTTATAGTCCGAGTCAATTTTATCGAAAATGTTGATAGTACCGAGTACTTTAAGATTAGCTTCATTTTGTAAGTGTTTAAAAGAATTATCATGTTTTTTAATTTTTTCTGATAAATGACCCAAATGTGTTATACCTGTTTTAGTCCAAGAAATGTCACCCCCAAAACATAAATAAGGAAAACAATAAACAGCTAGTTTTATATCACAACCACATAACTACTTGTGTTTTGCATAATAATCCGTATTAAAATGCAGAATATATTCATTTTTACTTTTTTTTGCTTTATTGATCAATCCTTTCAATTCAGATGTAGGTCTTCCAATCTGTTTTATTTCAATTTTTTGTTCATAAGTATATGACATAAAAGGTTTTGAAATTAAATTAGTTACTGTATTTTTAAGTGTGGGTGAGTCCATGATATAAAAAAAATATATATATATATATATAATATAAATAATATATACGACCGCACTAAGTAAATGATAAACACACGCAAGTTCGGAAATTGTGTATATCGGGCGATTAAAATCATTGCCCCGGCGGCAGCGTTATTGCTGTGTCCCCCCTTCTTAGTTTTTGTATTCCGATCATGCTTATAAAGAGTGACTTTTAACATTGCCCAAGCATCGCTTAAGGTACGGTTTCCAAGCTGCGGCTGGCCGCAGCGGCACACGTAGTCTGACTGTGCTATTTAAAATTGCGGAGCGTGGTTTCCAACGTGCGATCGACGATTGCGTGATTTAAATAGTCGTTGCGGCTCGCGGCTATAGTGGTCTGGTAGCAGTACATTGCGTGAGTCGTGGTGCGTGTCATATAGTGTTTTATTGTATTTTTTGCATTTTAATTAAAAACTATGTCAAAATCTACATTTTCGTCGAACAATGATGAAGTTTTGGTGGAAGAAGTTGAGAAGCAATCCGTATTATATGATTGCTCCCACGAATACATAAAGATATTATATTATATTATCAATAACTTCTTCCGTCACAAACTAACAATTAACAACAAAACTAGTATAATAAATAAATTATTTACCAAAAAACACGTCTGTACTCTACACAATATTAGGGTAAAATGAACTCCGGCCGCAACGTCTAGTCGTATTTAGGAAACCAGTCGGCACGCAACGTTTAGTCGTTATGGCTGATCGTTGCGGCCAGCCGCAGCTTGGAAACCGTACCTTTACGCCGTGTCCTATGTGAATCCGACGAGTGCGGCGACCAAAATAAACAAACCTGTGATAACATGTCTACGTTTCCAACGTCTACTGTCGTCGCCGCACGTTCGAACGACCGAATTCGTTCGCACGCGCCGGACGATTTGAAAAAACAAATCATTTTGTTTTTTTCACCGCACATAGCTGCGTCCAGTGCGTTAATTAATACGATATAATATTATAATAGTATTATAAATATTATAAATATTATTACTTAAATTAACGGTAGAGTGTATAACTAAATTATATTAATTATACTATTATTAAGTGAATCGATCATCGTAAATAAATTTATTTGCCATTGATCGTTTATTTTTTTTATACTTTTTGTACATCAAGTATTTAAGTAGACTACTTTCACTAATAATATTTTTTTTTGTAGACTTAAATTCATAGTACCTAAGTATCAATAAAATAATATCTAATGCTAAAGAGTTTATATTAAAAGTTTAAATAATACTATAGTAGGCAAGTTATCGCAAGTTAACGCATCGCCGTGTACTGCGATGTCTGACTCATTTTGCCATGAGTGCGGCGTTTAAAAACGTCCGGTACGTACAATGAGAATTCGTTCGCACCGCAATGCGTTCGCCGTACTCGCCGGATTCACATAGGACACGCTGCTCGCGGGCCCCGGCAAATTGTTATCGGTTATGGATTCTCGGAAGCTACAGTGTTGAATGATTTATTTTTAAACTCCTATTATCTTATAGCGTTTTTATAATATTTATTATTATAAATATAGGAAACACAATTTTTTTTTTTTTGACAATATTATGTTACAATATAAATTTGATATTAAACTCATAACTTAGTAATAAATGATAATTTTAGAAAAGGGGCGATCGCCCCATCACCCCTATCTACGAGCCGCCACCGGTTCTCGGTATATAGACTTTCTGATATTATGAACATTAGAATGCTTAGCGGTGCTGTATGTGGAAAGCTCTGTACGTATTATTTTATTAGGTCGTAAAGTTAAATCATCACATGCTTTTCTTTTACACATACCTACCTTTGAACGTCCAGTAAGTTTAAAAATAAACTTAATAAACTAAATATAAACTTAATATAGAAACTTAAAAACTTAATATAAACTTTCTTCAGTTTCCGGATCATGGGTATGATTGTCTTTAATTTCGGTTAACTTCATTTTTGAACTATTCGTTTTGACATACGCCCTACAGGTTTGTTTTACACAACGCCAACTTATATCTCCAAAAACCAGGGTTCTATTTACGTGATATTTAAAATAACGAAAAATTAAATAAAGTTTTTGTTTACTTGAAACAGTTATATAAAATAATCGTTATCGATTGGGATTTTACAATTTCGATTAGCACAACAACTACAAAATATTATTGTCTTTATCGATTTGGATATTGGTTTCGATTAGCTTGGGAAACGACCAAATATTATTTTAGATTTTATAGTTACATGCCAATATACTCAATAAATGGCAACGTTGCACGATTTTCACCTCATCTGAATCGGGCGCACATGGGCTATGATTTGGGGCGCAAATGGGCTACGATAAATGGGTCCGAGCGCAAATGGGTTTCGCCGTTCCTTAGTAAATCCCATTTAATAGTGTCAAATTTTTTGTATAATCTAGGAAACAATATAGCTGGTGAATTATATTTATATAGCTTTTCTACCTGTTGTATGATGTTAATAAGTTGGTATCTTGTCCCTCTTCCAGGCATGAAATCTGATTGTTTCGGGGACACTTGGTTAAGTAGGTATGGCTTCAATCTTTCTTGCATTATGTAAAGCAGAATTTTGCTGGTATGCGGTATATATTAAAAAAGGAATAAAATAAATCTTAAACACTCAGTACTAAGAATCATACAAAATAATTTCATCACAAATAAAAATGTTTGACACTCAATAAAGTGAGCACGAGTCAGCTTGTATAAATATATTTTTATCTGTAGTTGGATACCTGATTACTATTATTTTTAATTTAGTGTTATGACTAGAGAACGGATTTATATGCACAAAAGATTCTCAAAATATACTCCCAAAAAATGCTACAAAATATGCACTTATAATTAAATCAAAAATTTATTTTCAAATCATATAAGAATTTCACAAATATTGTAATACAAAATTGAATCATCGATTTTAAAAATATCTTTATGCTCGTTTACCGATTTTTCTTAATGACTCTTAATTGGTGTTTTAAATATTGTTTAAAAATTAATTGTCATAAATCATGTAGGTAAGCTATATGATGATTGGAGTCCTGGGGAGGCGAAGGATAGTGATGTACTTAATGAGCCGGCCATTATTATGCCCTACCCTGTAAAATATTGAAATTACGCTCCTGTATTTATTACTTACCTACTCAAAGTATTATATTTACCAAATATTAAAATGTTATTTTTAATTAGTTTATATCAATATTTAAATAATATATGATATATAGGGTCCCACCAAATTCTGCACCGGGCTGGCAATGAAAATATATTTGAATAGAATGCAATTTGACAGTGTTTTGTAAACTTATGGTGTATCACATTTATGTAGTTATATATATTTTATATTGCGTCTACGATAGGACTTAAAATATAACGTAATAGCTAATTTTATGTTGTATTTCAAAAATACTTATTACGTTGTATCAAAGATCTTGATATTTTTATTTAGAATCCAAATGGATTAAATACCATATAGATGAACTAGGTAGAATAAGACCACAAACCTTATATTAAGGTAATAAGGTATATACCTATTATAATTTAATATATATATATATATATTTTATAATTATATAATTTAATATTATCAGTAGTTAAGGATTTTTTTTAAAAAGAAAACCAAGTAATCGTTATCTGTTAAATTGCATTGTGTATTTCCTCTATACTATTGGATGCACTGTGTATGGATTTTTTTTTCCATAACCACCACGGACTAAGATATCCTTTATCCGAGACCGTGACCAAAACGTCCATAACTCAAGTCAAAACACACTACACGGAAGTATCGAACACGGGTTATTAACGCGGAACGAGGTAATTTCAAGTAGTTTTATTCATAGAAATAAAAATGCCGATGATTAAACTGCAAAGTTCGGATGGTGAAGTATTTCAAGTCGACTTTGAGATCGCCAAGGCTTCTGTAACTATCAAAACTATGGTCGAAGACTTGGGTTTAGAAGAAGAAGACGAAGAAATTGTGCCTTTACCAAATGTAAACGCTGGCATATTGAAAAAAGTGATCCAGTGGGCCACGTACCATAAAGATGACCCACCGCCACCTGAAGATGATGAAGGACGCGAGAAGCGTACCGATGATATATCAAGCTGGGATGCTGACTTTTTAAAAGTAGATCAGGGTACTCTATTTGAACTTATTTTAGCTGCTAACTATTTGGATATCAAAGGTCTGTTGGATGTTACTTGTAAGACTGTTGCTAATATGATCAAAGGCAAAACTCCAGAGGAAATAAGGAAGACATTTAACATCAAGAACGATTTCACTGCTGCTGAGGAAGATCAAGTACGTAAAGAGAATGAATGGTGTGAAGAAAAATAATCTTAACATCAATTATAATAATTTACAAATTATTTTTTCATCCTTATAATTCATTATATTAAAATTAAAATATCCAAGATTTTGTTTTATAAAGCATTAGGTATTTCATTAGTATGTTTTACTGTAAGAAGGATACTTTTCCTTGGCCTTATTAAATGAAGTACTTTTTCATAATTTGCATATTGTGTACATTTTTAAATACAACTTGACAATTATGTTCATAGTCATTTTTTTGTACATTAAACTAAAAATTAACATTTACCTCCATAATGTTTGGTCAATATAATATAATTCTCATATTATTAATTTAAAATTGTATTTCATTTAATTTAAATATTATTTTTTAACCTTATTTAATGGCTAATTGATTCATTTTCAATTAAACTCGTACCACTATATTTGTATTCATATTATTTGTGCACTGTGAACATTATTAACTAAAGTAATTGTAACTTAATGCAATGTTATGTTTTTTTTTTTTTTTTTTTATAAAATTTTGGAATAAACTAATCTTTTTAGTTAATAGTTTTATTGAAATTGTTCCTGTGATAGATTTAACAAATCACCTTTTGATACAGATTTTCTTGGATTTAAATAAAATTGTTAAAATAATGACTACAATTTTAAATGTATAAAGAGAGTGATATTATAAAAATAATAATAAAAATGCATTTTTATGTCTCAATTAAATTATAATTATTTCACAATATTATAAGTATACGTAATGTATGTTAAAGTTAGATAAATATTTGTATATTTACTTAGATTAAATAAAATCAATTTACAAAGTCATAAAACTGTTGCCATACATAGTATGTCTACAAAATATGTTTAAGAATAAGTTAAAAATAAAAAAATAAAAAATATTTAAATATTTATGTTATCTATCTCTATTATGTATCTATATTTTATGATACTCTATGTTTAATCATGCATTATATGTTAAACAAGATGTTTAATATATGTGAGATATTTGGTGTATGTTAGTATTAGCATGGGCGTAAACTAAAGTCAAAAATATTGAAAGTGCTGAAATTGTTGAAAATAAAATTGAATAGTAATTTACTATAATTACTATAGATTGAATAGATTTGAAAAAAAAGACAGTAGTACTAAATATGAAGTTAGAGGTGCTATAAACCTGCTTGTGCCTATGGGTATTAGTCTGTTATTTCTGAAATTGAAAGTAGTTTTGAAGTAATTGAGTATTTTTTATGTTTTTAAAGGTTTAATTTTCTTGTTATTTGCAACCGCATGGAATATAAAAAAAAATTTAGTCTACATTAGTTATTTGAAAAATACATACTCTTATGCTATATTCTGAAACACAATTTCTTAACTAAACAATATAATAACGTTACAACTAATGTTAGAAATTATCAGTCATATAATATGCACATGTCTTTATTTTTTATATATTATATAATAAAAATTATGAATTTAGTATAGTTTGAAATATTTAAACCTATTGATGAACTACAATAATTAAATAATAGTTTGTCATTGTTACTGGAATTATTGTGTGTACTGTGAAGTGTGAATGTTTAAATTCAGAGTTAAATTTAAAAAAATATTTTTAATGTAATATTTTTAGCCTAAATACATTTTAAATTCTGAAAGAAACGAGGAAGTTATTGGCTTAACCATGATGTGTTATTTTTGTGTTTGTGCAAAAGATTTGTATTGTAAGCAGTGGTGTGGCAAGCATATTTCAAACCCTAAGAAAAATATATTTAAACACCAACTACCCCCCCCCCTCTATTACATAACATAAACATAATTATTTTTCAATGCATACAATTAGCTGATCAATTTAATTGTTTAAATAAAATATGTTCATAAATACATGAGCCAAGGGATACTCAGCTCCTTAATAAGTTTCTAGGACTAAGCATTTCATTTAGCAAACGTTATTTATAATGTCACTGATTATAGAAGGATTTCTCTGATCATCACAATCATGGGAGAATTCTTATAGTAAATGTCCTGTTGTTGGTACGATGAAGATGAATTTTACGACATTCATTATAATTTTCTTAATAACTACAAAAATAAAAAATAAAGACAAATTTTACAACACTAACTTTTAACGAAATTGACTTAATTTTTTTGTCACAACTAATGAAATAATAATTTTAGAGTTTTGAAATTTTGACTGAACAATTAATCATAGTTAGCGTTAAATGGTATAGTTATCAAAAGATTACAGTTTTGTTTTTTATGTTGTAGGTGAAAACTTTATTTGTAATGATTAATATAATTTAAAATAATTAAAGTAACTTTATAACTTATTATAATTAGATATAGTTTGAAAATCAAGTAATATTTATAATTGTATCCTTTATATCATCCTGTTCACAACTTAGTAATCTATAATTTACAAAAATTCTAAATTTTCTATTATTAAATTTGAAAAAGTACATAATTGTTTAGGCAATTCATGGATATAAGCCAAAATTCCCAAGGGATATATTTACTTTATTTAGTATTTATTTGCCAATATATATACTTTTACTAAAGGAAGAATTTAAAATTTGCTTGCAAAATGTACAATTTATTTAAAACTTTGTATAAAATCCAGTATGACATTTTTTACTCAGTCTTGAATATACTTCTATAAATATGTTGGAAATTGGAATAGTTCCAAGGATTTAAAGATTTTGGAAATACCTGCAAAAGTTTATGGCAGTTTATATAGTATTTCAAAAAATACACAACATTTTGGACCAACTCCAAGCTGTGATTGAATAAAATACATCACTTAGACAAGATGAACAATGGATAAACAGAAAAGGATCTGAGGTTTACATTGTTATACAGTATTTCACAACAAAATATAAAAATTCCCTAAAATACAATTTAGGTGTGTACATTTAATGGGATTTATTGCATTACACTTTTATACATAAGTTTTTGTTTAAATATTTATTTTAACTCTAAACAATAATTATACATAATTGGGTGATCAAGTCATATAAAGTTTTTTTTTTTTTTTTTAGACTAAACTATTTTCATACAATCTTAATTAATCTGATATAAAAGCAATCGCGTCTAAATAAATCATGTAAAATATATTAGATATGTAATATCCAAGTATTACAATGTTCATTAAATTAAAACGCGTGTACACAAGATGTTAAAATGTATAATTTATTACAATGGAGTTGCAATGCTAATTAAAATCATAAAAATTATTATGTTCACAGTAATACATACTAGGTTAAATTAATAAATAATATAAATCATAACAAAATAATAATTATAATTATAATAATAATAATGATAAATATAAATAATAGGTACAATAAAATAAATAAAGTAACAAAAGATATAAAAAATTTAAATGAATTAACAATAAAATAATACTTTTTATTTATTAATTTTAATAAAATAACAATAAAAAGAACAATAAATTGGCAGAATATTAACAATTAAACCATTGTAATTATTTTCAAATATATTACTTCCATCTCTCTAATGATCATTAAAATTTAATTATATTGAGATTATTATTGATTTGAGGTGATGACAAACGGTGTACACTGTCTAAATGTGATTAAAAAAACAGAAATAATTTGTTTGAAAACAATGATCATATAAAATACAGTGGAGAAAATAGTAAGTTAAAAGCAATTTATTATTTCACATTAAACCCAATTAGGCCTAAATCAATTTTTTTATATAATGTTAAATTAATTCAATATTATATTAAAATTATTTAAATTGGTAATTTGCCTACTCTTCTTGACTAGGATATATAATATTTACAAGTTTTTATAATATTTATGATACGGGCAATTTTATTTTGTTTTTTAAATGTATTTACAAATCTTGTTGGCCACAATATTGTAATAGATATATATATGTATATATATATATATATATTTGTTTGATTGTCAACATTAGAAAAGAAAAATAATGTAGTTGGCATAAGAAATTTATATTGTATAATAGTTATACTTTAAATATTTGGCTTAATAATTAATTAATTAATTTAAATAATATTTTCTTATTTTATGCATACTATATTATTGATGTGGTGCAACACAGTGACAAATTGGAGTTCTAAAATTTTAACAGAGATCAAACTAAAAAGGAAATAATAAGATTTTTTTTTGCATTTTAACACATCGAAATTATCAGTCTTGTTATAAATACAATTGGATGACTTCATAAGTCAAAAAGTGAATACTTAAAAGTAAAACCACTTTTATGTATTCTAATTTATTATGGTACAAAAGTAATAGAGAAACCAGAATTGAATTAATATGCATTATATAACGACTAAACATTATTTTAATTTAGCCAAAATTGTTTCATCATTTGAAGATACAGACAAGTGAAAATATATTTCTAACAAAATTTATATAACAACTGCATATTATTGGAGAAGAAATTGTTTTTAGGTTTACACATTTTATGATATAAAAGAAATGAACGATGATAAACAATTTTTAGTCATTAAATCTACTTAAGAAGTTTGTCATGAGTTGGTTCAATGGCTAATACTAAATAGATTATATTTACAACTGAAAGGCTGTTAATTTACATTGTATAATATTATTTCCATTCAATTCAAGCTACATTATACAATACAACAAAGAACCTTCATTTGATCTTAAATATTTATGTATTTTCTTCTTTTGCTTTCATTCAACAACTATTACAAGATAATAAAATGTATATATTATGATTAATTGTTTTAATTTTGATTTTTAATCTAAGAATAACTAGATTTTTAAACATTTTAGAATTTTCGAGTATTTTTGTAAATGTAACATGAAAATTATGTTTGATCTATGATATTTATTGCAACAGTACAATATTTTAAAATAAAAATTAAAATAGTAAAATATAAAAAATATTTTACGTATTTAGATATATTTTATTGCATATTAATAATCTTATCTTTTTACAACATTAAGTATGAATAATTTAATGATGGCTTTTTTTCTTTCAAATGTATAATTAAGAAATACATAATCACAATCAATCAGTTATGGATTCAATATTACTTAGGTGAAATTATTAACTGACATTAGAAAAGAAAATGAAAAAATAAAAATATGTATTTACAATAGAACATTTCACGTACAATACATGATTGTTGATTTGATATTATAGGCTTTTATGGTACCCAATATCAAAAACACTGTAATGTCCCGTGTATTCCTTTTTAAATTTTGGTCTTTAGCTATGCACTGTCTACACAATGTCTTTAGTAATTCTGTATGTATTAGAAAAAATTGTACTAAAAAATTATAAAATGTATAAAAAATAGTATATTATTACATTCATCTACACTATCCATTCTCTATACAATAACAAGAAATAATGAAACACCACAGTCTTATAAAGTAGCGTTACACTAACCTTAGCCAATGAAATAAGAATTAAGTAAAATTCAACAAAATATGTAGATAGAGAAGGAGATAGATAAGCATATTTTATTATAAATAATAAAGAAGCATTGAGATTCATTAAAGAGATTTGTTTAACCTAATACCTTATCATGTAACTAATTGCCATTAGTGTTAGTTGTAGATGTCAAAGGATCAGCTTCTTCTTGTATGAACATTTTGCCAGGTTTTTTTAATTTTTTCAACAGATCATGTGTAGATTTATGGGTGGAACGTAATGACAATGCCCATTCTTTTAAGCCAATTTCATCCTATAATTTAAATTTATGATATCAATTAGAACATAATTAATTGTATAGAGCCAATCAAAACCTCAAAGCAATTTAACAATTATTTAAGTAGCAACTGTATTTCTACAATGCACATTATTCATTACTTTTAATAAGTTTAAATTACACTTACACTATTGGTGAGTACTAGTTTGCCATCTTTTCCATCCTTCATACGTAATACAATACATTGTTCATTTTTTACAATCACTAATTCTGGACTGACTTCCAATACTTGGTCTAACGTGATCACCTCAGTTTTTACTGAACCCGAATCAGAATGCAACTCTAATCGATTAGGGTATAGCTTAGCATACCTTGTTTGCCATGCAGATGCAAATGGCCCTCCCAATTTTTTAATATATCCATGAAGAATACAATCAGATTCTAAAGAGGAATAAAATAACAATACATCAATATTGAATAACATTTAATTATATAAATTATTAAACAATCATACCTTCTTCATTGTGTTCATTGAATTTCTTCTGTCTAGATTTTCTTTTTTGATCAGCTTTATCAGCCTCTGCATTCACTGTTTCAAATACTGTTTCAGCAACTTCATTTTGCCATCTTTCAGATATAGTTATAGAAAAGTTCTTATAGAGTTCTTGATCAGCATCAGTTAACTTTAATTACAAACATCCAAATAAATAATATTGCACAAGTTTCAACTGTTAAAATAACTATTTACTTTTATGCCTTTAGTGTCTTCTTCGTCAAACGAGCCAATATCAAAGGCATCAGCAGCATTCACTTCACCTCTAGGAGGTATAAGAGGTGGCGTATACTTTTGCAAATATACTTGTTGCCAGTCAAGTCCAGCAAAAAATAGATGTTCTTTTAATTCATCTGACCTATATAATTATAAGTATAATTATAATTATACATTCATATATATATATTATATGCACATGTGTAAAAGAAAAATCAATATTTTTATTTATTTAAACTACATTAGTATACAATATTTTACCCTCTTCCTCGACATCCAATTCTTTCATTTATATCACGTTGTAAAAGACCTTCTAAAAGATCTTTTAAACTTTTTGAAAAAGAATCTGGAAGTTCTACATTCTGCAACATAAACTGTTTTTGTTAATTTGAATTAACAAAATTAACAAATACATATTTAATTATATAATAAATGTAATAGTTGTAATATTGCTTAATAATTTAAAATATATTTTATATCAAAAATTTAATTTAAAATTATTTATAATAAATATTATTATTTGTATGAATTAATAGAATATTCAAAATATGAGTAAAAATGGAATAAAATATTTAAATAAAAGGTTTGAAAAAAAATACCATTGTTAGGGTCATTCGATCAATCTCATGTTTGTCCTTGGTTTTGTGTTGTCTAAATGGACTGTGACCTTTAAGTAGTTTGTACAACATACAACCAAAAGAAAACCAATCTGCACTTGAATCATAAGCAGTTCCTTTTGATAACACTTCTGGAGCCATGTAACCATGTGTTCCCCTAAACATGAAATATAAATGAATATGTAAATTTAACACAAAAAGTGTTATTTTACTTACACACTAGCATGTGGTTTCTTTTTAGAAAAATCACACGCTAAACCTAAATCTGATATTCGTACATGTCCATATTCATCTAATAGTATGTTAGCTGGTTTTAAGTCTCTGTAGACAATAAATCGTCTATGCATATGTTCTAAGCCTAATTAAAAAAATATTTTAGTAATTCATATATTTTTAAATTTAAATTTTATATTTTTTATTTACCTAAAATTACTTCAGCAGCATAGAACTTCATATCATGTTCATTAAACACACCATGTTGTGCTAAATGATAATGTAAATCACCACCGTGCATAAGGTCTAATATGAAACAGAGTTTATCAGGGGTATGAAATGCATATGTCATACAAACAATAAAAGGACAGTCCACCTATCAGATAAAGTTAAACAAAAAATAACTGAAATTAATATTTATTTACTTAAAAACAATAAGACACATATTTTTTTTATTAATTTTTATATCTTATGCTCTATATAACTAATATGAACATAATTACCCCGGTACTGACTAGAGACAACATTATACGTTCATTCAAGGCAAGAGTTTCTCCTTGTTTCATTTTTATTCGTTTTTTGTCAAGACATTTCATAGCATACATTTTTCCAGTATCAGCTTTTCGACAACCATAAACTTCGCCAAAACCACCTCTACCAATTATACGATGAACACTAAAATCGTTCATTGTCAACTAATATAAAAAAGTATTCATTTATTAAGTATTCATTTCATATAATATATATTCTATAATATAATTAAATATAATTTACCGAAATATTAAGCTCTAGATTTTTCCACTGACAAAATCTTGTATATTTATCACTAGTTAAGAAAGTATCAATAATTAAAATACACATATACACTTTAATATTCATATAATTAATATACCTTTCTAGAAATTTTTTAAAAGGTTCTTCTCGAAGGTGATTGAATATTACTTTAATATAAGGCTAAAAATTAAAATAATATAAATTAGTACAAAATATTTTAATTTAAAAATTTAATTTACTTCAAATAAATTAACAGGCACTTCATTCTTCATCAAATATTTTTGAACATGAGCGACAGCATCTTTTGGGTAATTCTAAAAATATAATATATTTATATATAACATATAATATAAATTAATTAAAAAAAAAAAGATATGAAAAACTGGATACTTTTATATTTTCATAAAATGTTTACTATGTCGAAAAATAACAATATTAAAATTATAAGACAATTATTTTACAAGAAAAAAAAATTAAAAGTGAAAAGCATATTAGTTATGATAGGTTGATGACAGTATTCGTAGCAATGATAAAATAAATAATTTAAAGAATGGCTATAGAATTACAATTTAAATATGTTAATATTATGAAAATATAGAAAAAGTATTAGAATAAAAAAAAAATCAGTAGAAAAGAGATTAGTATCAGTTTGATAGTAAAAACATAAATAATATATTATTAATGTATTAGGATAATTTAGATAATTATATATAATTACCAATTAGATAATTGGTAGCAGAAGTAAATAAATATTTACTTACATGAGTATGTGACAAAAGTTCTTTCATAATATAATTATCATAGATGCCTCTAGCTAATTTTCTTCTCTCATCAAGTGGTTCTAATTTTTCATACCGTTTTATCTAAAACAAAATAAAATACTATTTTTGATGTTCATCTAATATCAAAAAGATCTAAACATTATCAAGATTTGATTTAAATGAGGTAAATTTTTATTTTTAAGAAGTACTAAGAAGAAAATTCTAATAACTACTTTCAAAATATCTTTGTTTGCTTACAAATTTATGAACAAAACAATATTAAAACCCTACATCAGAGGTTTCCAAACTTTTTTTCCCCATAGACCACGTGCCAATTTTTTCCATTTTCGTAGACCCCTAAAACTAAATGCTTACAAACTCATCTAAGTGTTTTTCATAACTAACAAGGAACTGCTCACCTGAATAGGCTTTATTATAGGCATTTTTTTTTTTTAAATAAAAAACGTGTTATTTTTAATAATACCCTTATTTCTTTAATAAGGAAAATATTAAAATCAATTTTTTAGTAATTAAAACGATAAAAAATGTAAATTAAATATAATAACATAGAAAAAAAATCAAGGTTGGTGTTAAAAAAATGTATGTTTAATGGGAAGGATAAGCCTGATGCTTTGATAGTAAATTTTCAATATTTGGCTTCAAATTAGTCAGGTTTAACCTCAAATCTCCTCTATCAGTAATTTCCAATTTATTTCTTTTTTTTTTATAAGAAGATTGACAACTGTGCTGAAACCTTTTTCCATGTAGTATGAAGACGGAAAATCTATCAAAAACTTTCTTGCGATTCTCCATAAAGCAAGAAAAGTAACAGGTCTCTGAAGCCAATACCCATTTCTAAATTGTACCTTAAGTTCATCGTTAGTACTTATTCCGATCAGTTCTTGTAAGTTCTTCTAGCACACATATTTTTCGTAAAAATTACGACATACATTTTTGACTTATAACTTTCGTGAACCTCTATTTACACATGATGCACCCTCAATTTTTTTTTTCGTTGACATAGACCCCTAAAAAATCCGAATTGACCCCAGGGATCGATATGGACCACTTCGGGAACCTGTGCTTTACATTAACCTAAAAATGATAATTTTGTAAATACTTACGGTTTTTTTTTTGTTCACTGTTTATTATTTGTATACTTGTGGTTTGTATTAAAAATAATTCAAAATGCATATAAATGAAATAACAAAATTCAAAAAACATTTTATTGTAAATAATATAAATTTTTCTAACAACTACAATTATATAATTAATCAAATTTTAATTTTTTAGATTCTGTTCTAAATGAGTATCATTAACTTTTACTAAGTATTATAATTGTTCATAGACAATTAGTATAATACTTATTTAGAACAGAACCTAAAAAGTTAAAATTTAAAATTTGCTCGATAATATAATTGCAATCGCTAGAAAAAATTTATATTATTAATAATAAAATGTCTTTTGAACTTTGTTAATTTGTTTTTATGCATTTCAAATTAGTTTTAATACAAACTACAGGCATATATATATACAATGAACAATAAACAAAAAAAGAAAACTTAATACACATGCCTGACTAAAGTCATTGACAATTTATATAGATAGCCACTGTAGGCGTGTTTACAGTGTAAAAAGGTCACTTATTAAAGTTACACGAGAAGATGATGACAGGGACTGTTTCAAAACAAATCCACTTGACCAGAAAGCTCAACCTATATTCATGATAAAAAATGTCAGTCTTTTGCACCCCCTATTATCTTGTATTTTGCTTTAGACTGTCATATATAATTTCAAATAATAGTTCTAGTAAATAGCAGTTCTAGACATTTTTTATATGTAGCTGATGAAAATATGCAGGGATTATGAAAACTTATAATTTAACTCTGGTATATATCTCTTGTCATTTTGATGAGTTGTAAGTGATATTTTTAGGTTTTATTCATGCATATTTTCTATTACTAAATAAAAAATTGTATAACACTGAAAACGTAATCAAAATAAATTCTTACAAAAATAACTTTATAAATTATAAGAAATTGATATTCATAGTATCAGGCCCATAACCAGACATAATCACCAGGTGGGAAAAACCAAATTTTAGGAGGGAGCCATTAGAAAAAAACAATATAGTGTTACATAATAACATAATATACCACTGCATAGTACATATGCACATTAAATACTTGTTAGGGGTGAGGGGGCAACCATTAGGTCTAAGGGGGTAATGGTCCCTTTGCTCTTCTGTGGCTACGCTCCTGCATAATTTAAGTATATTATTAAAATTTTTAAATCACCATAATCTTAGATTTTTCTAATTTATTACATTTGTTTTTAAATAGTTAGATTATATTTAACTAGAATATAAGTTTAACCAACAGATTCTACATGCAATTTTGTTTTTTTTGTAAAACAATCTTTAAATAATAAAACCATATAATTTAAATTTCTGTATGGTAACTTCAGTGAAAATAAGTCAAACTCATACTTAATAATAAAAGTAAATTTATGTGAAGGGTTTAGGGTTAGTATTTAAATATAATGAAGTAATCCAATAATCTTTCATTTTTTGAAATTTTTTTTTTTAATAAGTATAATTAGATTTAATCTATAATAAGCATTTTACTATAAATACATTAGTGACATGTTGAACAGTAATACTTTGAAAAAATTAATTTTCTACTTCTATTAAAGTAATTTTGACTGTTTCTAAACAATTCAAAAAATACTTCAAAATATAATTAATTATTTTGATGACTTCAATATTTAATATTAAAGCAGAAAAATCAAATTTAATTATAATTAAGACTATAGGAGGAAAATAATAGTTTTTCTTATCATATTAGGATATCTTTTATAATAATAAATATTTTTATAACTTCAAAATTTGATAGTTCTTATTATTAATTAAGTCTACTAAATTAACTTTTTTAATTATTTTATTACTCTATAAATATAATAATTTATAATAAACGTTACCTCATCATAAAATTTGATTTCAGGTATTTGCTCATCTTCTGGTAGATGTTCACAAAAATCTTTGAATAACAAATAACCTAAATTACAAAAACCATTAAAAATACATTGATCAATTTATTTGTAGGAAAAATATTTTGATACTTAGGGTTAATGAGTAGTAAGTATATAATAAGTAATAATATATTTCTAGAATTACCTAAGACTTGATTGAAGATTTTATCAAAATTAACTTCTTCTTTTTTTTCAAGGTATTTATGCATAACACTTCGAACACTGTAAATAGAACATTTAATTTTTATTAAAACAGTATTTTATATAATTGGGATATAATAGAATAGTATAGAATTTTTAATCATAATGTTTGGATTAGAAGGATTTTCTTTGTAACAACTTTATCTTACTTCAAAAATAAAATTATATTTTCCTATTGGATCTCATTTTCCTGTTAAATTTTTCAACAATACGCAACATTTAAATTTAACTAATTTTAATTTGTATGAAAAATTCTTCCATCTAAAAATAACAATAAAGATACTTCTTTAATTTAAGTATCTAAGTGATTATTTTAATAGTAATTTACTAATATAAATACTTTATTTATAATTTCTAAATTAAATTAACTAGGTAGAATAATATTGGTAATGGTATTGTAATTTTTTAGTACAGTGGTTCTCAACCTGGGGGGACGCCCCTCTAGGGAGGCATGACAAAATTTCAGAGAGGGCGTGAAAATGTTGAAAAAAAAACACGAAAAATGAAAACGTTGCCGATTTCTATGCCGTGCTGTGCCGCTGTGTTGGTCGATTTTCTTTTTTTATGCAAATAAATTAATTTAATATTAAAAAAACGTCATTGAATTTGTATTCTTATTAATCCAATTATCAATGTTAAAGCAGGGACTGGTACCTTCAAGTTTTTACGGTTCCAGTTCTCAATTATTTTATTAAAAGGTTCGGGTTCGGGTTGTTGAAAAATAAAAAATAAGGGTTTGAGTTCGGGTTCTAAATAAAAAATATTTTAAAATTTATTCCGTAATTATTATATATATGGCAATAAGTATTTTTTGACAGCTATATAGTAATGTATAATATTATAGTATTATAATAAAGTAATTAAGTAAGAAATAAATAAGAAAATATGCAAAATAAAATTTCATTTTTAAACTCATTATGTTGTGATTCAAACGTGTATCTATAATAATAAATAATAATAATTTATTTGGCCAAAAATAGAATTTACACATGTTTAAAAGGCACCCATCAAAAAGTTATACAATGTAGTATACTAAATTATTAAATACATTTTTAATTTAAAATAATATGTCTTACTGTTCAGTATAAATTTAAAACCAAAATTGATTAATATGCTTCCATTGTGATCCTACTATTCTTTTTCCATTTACAAAATAAATGTAAAATCTACCACTAAAAAATATAATAAAGTTTAAATAAAATATTTTTTTCAGTATTCTTAACATAATTATAAATTAATAACAAAAATAATTTATTTAAACAGATGATGCATTTTAAATGTTGTTTATTCAAACTAGTCTTTAAATTGTATGTATTTTTGATAGTTATAAAAAGGATTTTTATAAAAATAATCTCCATTATTATCTTTTATTTTTACTATTATATTATATTATAAACAGACACACATATACAGAAGTATTATTTTATTTCTTTTACCTCATAAACTAAGAGATATAATACTAGAAACAACAATTTTACTATGGTTACAAAATCAAAATAATTGTATATTTTGTACACAATCTTTTATTGTATCTATAAACTGGTACTCGTAATACATAATATTATTATTAAACATTATGTAATGAGGAGATAGTGAATGATAAGTAATCATTTTATAAACAAATAATTGACACTATCGATAGAATGTAGTCAGTCATGCAATAACTAACCAAATTAATAGACTATTTTATAAGTTTATAATCTGAGACTCAAAACAATAAATAATCAGTTACAAAAATAATATTTTAGAATTTAAACCTGTATAGAAATTCAAGTCTATGATTATCCTGATTTATATGATATGCAACAGTAAGAATATATTAATAATTTTCCTAAGTAGAAATTATAGTTCAAATGCTTTATTTTTAAAAATAAAAGTTTATAATAGGTACCTAATTTGAAATATTTTTTAATTAAGAGTATTGAGGTGTTACCTATTTTTATACTTGATACTTGTATATTCCTAATTTATAATTTCCATACCTTAACTTTTGAATTTTAAGAGCTAAAGAAAAATATGAGTTCAAAACATTTTCAATATTTGAAAATTGATTTGAAAACTTTTAGACAAAATAATATGTATGAAAAAATAGTGCTAAAAAAATAATTGATATGAAGCACCTATAGGAAAAAGAGAAGGTTACAGTAATTTTCTATAATATAAATATAAGTTTTACTAACTATATTGTCATCTAAACTTAATGATAACAACAATATATAGTTTGATATTAATAAATACATGCAGCATGCATAAATTAAGAAACATAATCTAAAACATAGTATAAGTTAACAACTAATTAAGGTATATAATACAAATATAAAGTTATAATTTTCAGTCGAAAGCTCCAATTAAATAATGACCATTGATTTTTGTTCTATCGTAAATTGTCATTTTAATCTTTACAATAATATAAAATAACTCATTTGAAGTATGTTTGTACAATTAATTTTTTGTTAATCAAAAACTATTAATAGTATTTATAAAAAAAAAATCCTAATTTATAATAGGTAAAAAGAAAATTGTTATAACAAATTACTTAATCTAAAAATTAATTAATGTTGATATGGTGATAAAATATAAAATACATTAAAATTATTCAGTTAAGGACATACCTAAAAGAAAATATATCTAGTATATATTAGTACCTATACACCAAAATAATTATTGTAGTATAATAATAAATAAACTATTTTTAATCTAGATATGTAATAATTAATAATAATAAAAAATGGTTATTATTATTGTAATTTAATTATATATTTGATAAATATTCACATTATGCAATCACTTTAGTATTAAATGTATGCCTACAAATAATGAGATGTAGATACTAGCACTAATTTAGATAAGGAAATACATATATGAGAGAACAAAAAAAAATAAGAATACAGACTCTGGTAAATTACCTATCAAAGAGTATCAAAACTATAGATATTAGCATCTATATCCATGAACAAATGTAAAAAAAAAAAAAAAAAATATAGAATAATTTATTGTTGGGGTTAAATACACTTTGAACAATTTTAATCAAAAATAAGACCGAAAGTAATATATTATATTGAAAAATGCATAGACATTAATTAAAAGCTATTTAACTTATTCAATTCACATAATTAATCTACTATCTGCTCGACTATCCAGTAGTGAAAACAATAATAATAGTTGGCATAAATCATTATTTGTTTTATTAATATGAAATGTAAGAATCAATTGCATTTCATAATTATGCTATTGAAATGAAATCGGCTAAGTTCTTAAATACTATAGGACATATTTAAATGTTTACACAACTATACTTTGTACAGTGCAAAATAAAATTATGTCCAATTAAAATATATTACTTTTTCATTATTAATTAATTTTATGTAAGAGACAATTGCATTTCATAACTATACTAGTGAAATGAAATCGGCTGAGCTCCATATTAATATAGGACAATATTTTAACATTTGTTTTAACTCTACAAAAACAAATGTACTAAAAATAAATTAAGTCCATCTTATAAAATAATGGTAGTAAATAAAACAGAAGGTTTAACTAAAAAAAGTAAAATTCTTAGTAGGAGATCATATACAAACATAATTATAGGTTGAGTTTAAGTATTTTTCATATAAAAATTAATTACTCAAGGATATTATTATTCAGTGTTTAATATTAATTATAATAATAATAATATTCTAAATTAATATAATTTAAAATAACATTAACTTGTTGATAACTAATCAATAAATATTGAAAATACAATTTAAAGGATTGATCATAGACTCTACTCAATTCATCATTATTTCTAACGTCTATCAGTAGCTACCCATTCCAGAAATTCTCATTATACTCAGGAAACATAGGTTAAGCAAATATATAAATATTATAATTAAATTTTAAATCAAGTAGGTAAATAAAGTTATTTTTAACTACTTTTTGTGTAAAAAAGATACTTTTTAGTTTTACAATAATAATTGCATATAAATATAATCAATTCAATTTTTAATAACATAAATTACAAGATTGTTTAGACACAACATAATAATAAATGTTTTTCACACAGTAAAATATAAGTACGTAGGACATGTATTTAAACCTAAATAAATTAAATCTAATTTTTTTTGTAATTAAAAAACCTTGATGGTTTTCAGGCAGATACAACGGGGGTTATAGGGGCTGAGGCTCCTATTTAGACATTAGGTAGAACCATATCGGACGTAGATACTTTAAGTATTTAAAAATTAGATGTAAAAAAAGACTGTACAAATCAACATGTGCAACAAATTATGGAAGTAATTCACTTCACTGCCTCCCTTTTTTTAATTTCTAGATCTACACCTGACTGTCTCTTTAAAGTAATTAAATAATAAAATGCTTTCATTACATCTTAATACATCTTCTTTAAATACAATTTTCAATAGATTTAGGCATTAAGAAAATGATTCATATAAAAACTTTATAATTATTAACAGATGTAATTACAATTATATAGCTATAGGTAACTAAGAACATTACAAAATATCATCATTGATAATAAATCATAATTGCTAAGTTTTATGTTATATTGTATATAAAATTAAAAAGAAACATTAATTTTAATCACTTGAAAACCCAGCAGATAAACTTTCATTTTATAACAATTAATGATTGATATAACTCTTTTTCAAGGGATACAAATAGTTTTAAAATGTAACACACATGACATAGAATGTTAATAAAATGTTGTCTGTCATCCTACTAAACATTGGATTAGGTAATAAAAATTATAGTTAAATTTAATTTAAAAAATGCAAACTTTATGAAGTTAATAGGATTCTCAATCGAATATTAATGCTTTTTTAACACTTGGATGTTTTACTAAAAAATCAAAAAATCAACTGTGCTTAAGATACATTCTTCCTTTTTTATATTTGCCTTATATCAACAGGCATATCTACATTGTAATAAGTATTGTATATTATTCCTATATCATATTACATGCGCAAGATGAATATGGTGAAAACACTAATATCAAGATAATGCAATTGCAGCAATATTTCATAATAACTCATGATAATTATGATTCTGAAAAAGCCCTTGTAATGTTCACTTAGGACATAGAACTGAAGAAATTACTGTCGGGTATAAAGAAAAAAATTTATCGATGCAGTGTCAAATGAGCTTGTAGGTATATCGCACCATAATATGTTCACATAGGACAAAGTTTTAAAACTACAACACTCATAAGGGACGTTTATACCATATATACGACTCATATGATACGTATAGCAGGGAATTATAATTTAAATAATAATAATAATTACAATTTAAGGAAATCATTGTTACCTCGGGTCGGGTAAGACGATCTTTTTACTGGCTCTGGCCGCGGGAGTGCACTTGCTCTTCTCCATGGCCATTAGATAGCTGACATCGGCCAGCACGGCTTCCAGATCGGCCATCGTGCACGGCGGGTAGTTGACACGAAGAGAAGGGTGTCCGGTTGAACGAACTTTGTACGCGTTGACGACGAGGGGAAAACGAATCCCGATATTATATAATAATAAGTATAAGCCGTATGACGTCGGGCTACGAGGGGCAAGGAAATGAACAATAATAACAACAACGAGAACCAACACCACACACAACCTAGGCTACGACGATTGGCAGCCTAGACTCGGTGGAAACCATTATCACTTGGAAGGCTTCATCGTCGTTGCGTTCGTAATCATGGCAGCAGCGGCGACGGCCGCGATCCCGCAAACGTGACAACAGATCCGGTCACCCTCGTAGCCGTCATCGCAGCAATCGCAAGAACGGCCGTGTTCGTCGGACATGACGAAGACGACAATACGCCGACGACGACAGAGTCGTCGCGTCTCGCGTGCGGACCGTAGTTTTGGTCGGGTGGAAACGATATCGACGTGAACGAAAAGACCGAAGAAACGGACGACGGACGCTAGTAGTCACGCGGACTTGCCGCAGCAAGACGGATGGTATCGTTAAGTTTGTCGTCGTCGTTGTTGTTGTTATTGCCGCCGTGTTATGGTCGTCGTACGGGTATCAGTCACCTGGGCGACGACGACGACAACGGTCGCTTAACCGACGGCCGTACGTAACGCAAATCTAGGTCGTCGGCGCGCACATTACGTATCACACATAAGACACACACACACACATACATACGTATAAGACTTATAGACACACGCGCGCGCGCGCCTCGCGCATACACACACACACACACACACACACAATGTCTCGTAGTATAATGTAGTCGTAATAAACAGCGGGTGTACGAGAACAACGCGGAACAACGACAGTTGAGTGTAGTGGTCGGGTTCGTCACAGTAGTGGCCGAATAGTGACGACTAAGGTATTTTTTTATAGCTACTACTTCGCTCGTGGCCGCCGTCCCCGAGCCGCCTGCTGGTTGAGCGCTCCGGCTGATATGCCCGTGAGTGGTGTGTAACGTGTATATCTCTTTCGACGCCCGTCCGTCCCCGCCGCTCTTTCCTTGATATCACCTCCGCGACAAACGTGCGCGTGTGTGCGTTGGAGCGCTAATGCGCGCGCGCGCGCGCGCAAAAGCGTTTGTGCGTGTATGCGCCGACGTGCGTCGCCGTCCGCGAACCGTGAGTGTGCGTGCGAAACTGCGGACGGTGAAAGTGCGTGCGCGAGTGGTGCCGCCGCGTAAGTACGGTTAAACAACCACTACCACCACCGCCATCGTCACCGATCCGTCAGGTCGCGCCGCAAGTCTGTCGTTGCTGTTCATCCGTGTGTGCGTTTGTCGGCGGTTGTTTTCGCTTGTGCTGACATTACTGCAGAAGTGCAGCGGAATACAGCGGGGCGTACACGTATGGTTGGGGACGGGACGGTTACTGATAACGCGCGCGCGAAATCATTTTCGGGGTGGAAACACTTTGAATTGCAAATTTGCGTAACGTACATCCGTCGAAAGGACGAGACTAACTAATTTTTTCGCCGCGAAATGCATTTAGGCGCGGCTCCAAGGGAGAGGGCTCTCTGAGACCAAGGCTTTTCAAAAATTTTAATTTTAATATAATTTTTTCCTTGTAAACTGTAAAATCACGATTATTTAGTTATATACTTACCTAACAATTTAATTTTGCTTAAAAAACCATATTATGACAATAATATAAAGTGTGTATCATAATATAGGAACGTAGTCGGATTCTGTGTCTCAGTGCTAATTTTGGGAAACAACCATCATTAGTTAATACTTTAAATGCCCCCCCTCCCCTGGTAAGTCTTTGAAGCCGTACCTGAATGCGTCTCAATGGCCGGCCACTAATGCGCAGCGTCGGACATCCAAAGTCCATCGTCAGAAATTCTGACTCAGAATAATGTAAATAATACATTAGTCGAATCCCAAATATGTACAAATATTTTTACATTTAAACTGTGCGTGTAACTAAGCTTAAAGAGTTTTGTGAATTCATAATAGTAGAGTACAAAAATGTACTACAGCATGGTACCACACGATTTCTTTTCTTACTAGCAGCAATTGAAGTATCACAAATTGTTGAAGGTTTGAAAGCTATTGTTGCAGCCAAAATTTATGACTAATCCTAAAAAAATTTTTTTAATGATAAGTGAGGAGAATTTTTCTTATGGTTCGTTCATGGTTAACTTACTCCTTTTAATAACTCTATTCAAGTAGTGGAAAAAAACAATTCAAGAGCAACGGATGTAACAAATATTCTAACGAAATTGCAAAATAATATCCTGGAAATAAAGAATTAGGCGTAAAGAAGATCTTGAACACTTTAACTGACGGTGAATCCAGTATTTTGAAAATAGAAGAAGACTGAATTATTTTACGAACGATGTATGCTATACATACATTGCATATATTGGACCACGGGAAAAAAGTTTTGGTGATATATCTTCATTTCTTTGGGTAGATGAAAATGAAATTAAATGGAAGCATTTTTTAAAAGCTTCAGAAATCTTAAACGAGAGATTAAAAAAAATAAATTGTAACCCAAGATCAGCTTTTCGATGAAGTTGTATTAAAAATTGGTGTAGCTATTCTGTTATTGTAAAGAAAAGGATATGTTAGCTCCAAATCTAAAATTAATTTTACAGTATATCTTTTGTATGCCAGGAACTTCTGCCTAGTATAAATATTTTTTTCGTTTATGAACAACGCTTGGTCGGGTGAAAGGGGAAGAATGAATGAAAATACTGTACAATGTCTAATGGTGTGTACAATTAATTTTGGTTGAGCTTTTATGAAAAAATTAAGAATAACTTAACTTTGTTGAAAAAAATTAATTCGAACGAAAAGTATCGATATTAGTAAAAAATAATAACAATAGTAGTAAATTAATGTAAAAAAATTGTAATGGCTAATAATTATTTAAATAAAAAAAAAAGTTGTATGCAATATGATATCCCGATTTGGTAATTTCAAAATCTGACAAGCCTATTTATATGCCTACCGATTATAGTTATCAGTAGTGGTTAAATCAAAATGAAATTATGACTAATAAAAATATTTTGTATGAAGAAGCTTTAGTATTTTATTTTTATTTTATATACAGAACGGGCCGTGACCCAAAATACAATGGTATAAGATAATATATTATAATAGTAAAAAGTAACTATATAATATAATTAAAATGAGATGGCTGAATACTCATTAGCAATGCGCATCATTCTGAACATGGGTTTATTACGGATATAATTGGTATGAAAAAAGGATAATGTGACCGTGAATGGAAACTGTGGATTTTAAAGTTAAGTTGACTTAGCAATTCAGGACAGTCAATAGAGCCATCTATGAGTTTTTGTAAGAATATCTTGTTAGCTGCAATACACCTGTCAGTTAGGTTCGATAATCCTAGGAGGGTACGGACTGGTTCATAATTATGGGGTCTATGTTCAATGTGAAGGATTCTAGCAGCATAGTTTAGGAACTTACGTTGAACCCTTTCAATTTAACTCCTTCAAGTAGCTGTATAAGGGTCCCAAATTATTGTACCATATTCAAGAACTGACCTGAAAAATTCACTGTACAAAGGTTTAAGTGGCGCTAATAATTTAAATTCAGTAGAAACTCTTTTCACGAGGCCAAGTGTTTAAAGAGCTTTGCAGCATGTTTTTTCAATATTTTCTTGAAAAATAAGTGCCCGATCCATTATAATACCAAAATCACTGACAGCAGCACCTGAATAAGCGAGAGGTAGATTACACAATATGTAATTAAATATGATTGAATTACAAATTTTCTAAAAGGACATAAAAATGCACTTGAAGATATTAAAATTTAGACCAATATTAGTAGCCCAAACACTTAGTGTATCGAAAAACTCTGTAATCGATGACAATCATTTATATAATGGATTTCAAGAATTATTTTAAAACCATCGGCAAACATCAGAAAACGACTGTTTCGAATAACATGTTTTGTATTGTTTATAAACAAGGAGAAAATAATTGAAGAAAGATGATCCCCTTTGAGGGACACCAAGCGGAATATTATTTACTTCGGACTTGATACCAAACACTTTTACATAATGCATATGATTTGTTAGGTAAGAGCTAAACCAAGATAATAATGGCTCCTCAAAATCACTAACCTTTAGAATTTTTATTAGCGTTATATGATTAACCCTATCAAAAGCTTTTTTAAAATCAGCAAAATGACATCTACTTGGTTACCATTATTAAATGCGTCAAACACATAATTTACAAATACAAGGTTAAATGTAGTGGCTGATCGACTAGATCAAAATCCATGTTGTTCATCCATAAGAATTGAATTGACTGATGGTTGTATACTATTTAGAACTAAGAATTTAAAAAGTTTAGGGATATGACCAAGAATGCTAATTTGCCGATTGTTACCAATATCAGAGGTGTCACCAGACTTAAAAATTGGTGTTATAGAGCTAATTTTAAATAAATTTTAATTACACCAGAGTCAAGGCTTTTACGAAAAAGAAGCCTTGATGGAAAACAAAGTGAAGAACGAATAGCATACAAAAACTCACAAGACAAACCATCCTAACCTATGGATTTGTAATTTTTTAATTAGGAAAACCATTTTCAACTTGAGACAGATCAAAAAAACAGTTTTTTTGAAGATCATGGTCCAAATATGGAACTGTAGAGGGAATATAAATCAACATTCTAGTCACAATAAGCTGAATTAAAATGTTTGGAAAATAAGTTCACTACATCATTATTATTAACACTAGTTACACCATTAAACTTGACAATTTTAGTTATAGAATGACTTAATTTATTTTTTCTAACGAAATCTCAGAATTAAGAAGGGTTTACGCAGAAGTTACCTATATTCAGTGGTTCTAATAAATTCCCTATAACATTGTTTAGACATATAATTGTATTTTGCTCGAAGAAATGAAAAATGTTGGTAGTCAATAGGATTCTTAGTACTTTTGAACACCGCGTGGGCTTTCCTTTTTTTTTAAAAAACTAGATCAATCAGGTTTTTAGAGAACCAAGCTGGAAAGTTTGATCGGTAAAAACTTACACGTGGAAGAAATTTAAGTTCTGCTGTTTACATACAGCGTCAAATAAGGCAGACGCCGCAAGGTCGGTGTAAAGATGTGAAATAGTATTAACCCAATTAAATAATAATAGGAATTTATTTTATATTATATAATAATAATTAATAATAATAGGAATATATTTATACAACTATAATTTGTTTTACGAAAATTGAAAAAAGTGAGAGGAACAAATCGGTGGAAGGATGATTTCAGGAGTGTAGTTAATTGATAATGCTGGGTGATAGCAGTCCTCAAGTACAACAGAGATTGGAGCAGCACAAACACTAAGATGGTTACGATTACTAAAGATAAGATCCAAATGTGCACCAAATGAGTCAAAGACATTATTAATCTAAAAAAAATTATTAAATGCAAGAGTCTCAGGTTCACAATGGATTCGGGAGCCGCCTTTAGTAGAATAGATAAAGCCACTATCTTCATATGACCATTCTATTCCAGGAAGATTAAAATCCTCACAAAAAATAAACGTATAGTCCACATGCTCTGAAATTAAGTTATCTACAGTATTCATGTATAGCTCATAGGACTGAGAAGGAGAGTTCGGAGGCAGGTATACTTCACCAATTATAAATTTTGACCCATTAAAGATAAGACTTACAAACAAATGTTCAATATTAACATTAATATTAGTAATTAAATGTGCAGAAATGTCTGAGTGAATGCTAATAAGTATACTTCCACCTCTTGTACAAATGCTGGTATGATTATTTCTGTCACATCTAAAAATATTATAGTTATTTAAACTTAATTCCCTATCACTTATTACATCATTAAGTCATGTTTCTGTAAGTACTAAAAATATATAATCAAAGGAAGCAGAATTACATTTAAAATCAGATAATTTAGTTTTAAGACCTCGACAATTTTGATAAAACCCTAAGGGCAAATTATTGTATTTATTATTTATCTTACTAAAATTATTGTCATGGCCTGCACTCAGTTTTTTATGGATCCATTGAGGTTCCTTTTCGTGAGGTGTCGATTCATTGATATATCGGATGACCCAGTCTCGTTCACCAGCTTCCCGCCGACGTTGTAAATCAGAAGGGATAACAAAGAGTTGCTTGCGTTGGAAGAGAATCAGGTCTTCGTTAAGCCAAACTTTGTTCCAG